AATTAAAAACCCCCCAAAACCAGTGAAGAAAAAACTCCTAAGCAGACCCTAAGATATAAATTAATCTTACGTTTTATTCATCTTATAGTAAATGCATCCTGTCAAGTTTATGCTATATATGTTCGTTTTTTACCCAAAAAAAAAAAAAAAAATTACTAAAAACCATTCATAAGAAGTGCTTTTACTTAATAAATGCAGTTTCAGCACTCCCAAAGTGCTTTCAAAACATATTACATTACTAAACAAATTCACAACAGAAAGGTTTTTTAAAGGAAAATAACTTTCTACAAACGCAGTCCAAAGCGCTTTTAAAAGTCACGATATAAAATAAACTCATTCAAACATCAAATGCCAAACAAATTTTCATGCTTGTTGATTAGAAAAAAAAACGAGGCTCTTTTAAGTTATGCGTCAAATCGGTTATTATATTAAAAATAAAATCATTCAACTTTTACAAATGGACCGACAAAATCTAAATTTTAAACTCGACATAACATTAGACTGTGTTTGTATTCATGTCGTTTTGTTACAATAATTATGTTCACGAACACAATCAAGTCGTATATTTAATTGTGTTGACATAATTTATTTAATATCTTTTATTTTCAACCAGCAGCTTGAAACAGGAAAGAAGATCAAAGCATGTAAATCAACTTGCAAGTTTTTCCTTTATAGTTGAACTCTCAAACATGTGAATATAGTTCAATCTATGCAGCTAAAAAATGGAGAAGCAGAGTTTAAGGTAGTGATTCCCAAAATATTTTGCGTAGCAGTAGTGATATATCTTTGGGCTTAATCACGTAAATTGAGATAGATTTTTGCTTTAAATTTAGAAAAGAAACCTTACCGTTGACTCTTCAAAGCCAAGTGGTGTTGAATTCATTCAAGAAATACCTAAATCCTGCCACCTAAGGGTGTTTGGTTCCGGGTACCCTACATTTTTTAAGGAACGAAAACCGAAACCGTAACCAGAACAGACAGTTTCTTGAAATTTAGAACCGGAACCTATAACAAAGGTTCCGGTTTCGGGTATCCTATAAAATTCATTACCCCCCAAAAGTTTTTAAAATGGCAAAAAAAACCTTTAAAAACTTACAAGTACCCCCCACCTGGCACTTGTTAACAAAAATAAAATCATAAATTACAAATTACAAACTCCATTATTTTGTAAACGTAGATTCTCAAAAGTCAAACCAACTTACTTTGAATGTTATGAAATATAAATATAAAGGTATTCACATTACTATTTTTACAAAAGTTTTTATTAACCCCCATGCTTTTTAATTTTATTTTATAGTAGTTTGGGTTCCCGATTCCTGTTCCAAAACCTGTTGACGGCCGGTTCTAGGTAAGAGCCGGAACCAAACCCTTGGTACCCGCTCATTCTGGTTCCAATCAGTTCTTTTGAACATCCCTACTGTCACCCATTGTATCATTAAAATCTAACAGCTGGCTTCCTCCAACTTCATCAGCTGCATCGTCCAAAAGTTCTTTGAGGTTTACACCCCCCAATGCTGTGTAACATAACATAAAAATATTTTCGATTATTATCTCAGGAACTCATCCAAAGCCGATACAGATCATGAATAACTTTGCTCAATATGTTAAACCTGGAACTATATTTGTGATTCCTTCCAAGAACGCAGCCTGTGGAGGAATTAATGAGAGTAGACAAATCATTATTGAGTGACACTTCAGGACAAAAAAAAAAAAGAAAAAAACTTAGCAGACACCATAATTGCGTGAAAATAAAGAGAAATGTCATCATTTTAATCCCTTTACGAACATTATATGGATTTTTACAGTTATATTATTAATGTTTGAATTTTGAATTATGAAAATATGACTTATAAGAAGTAAAATATAAATTTTATGTATTTATAAAACAAGTTTTGAGGGTTTTTTATTTATTTATTTATTTATTTTGGTAGTCAGAGCGTCCGGACCAACCTACGCATACCTCAACTAATTTTCAGAGTCTATTGAACACTCTACAAACCTAGATGATGAGATTAGTTAAAATGTTGTTGTGGTAGGTAGTCCTAATATTTGAACCCAAAAACTTAAAGAATTGAGTCAACCTCCTTAACCGCTAAGTCAATCCCTCGGGGTTACATTATTTATAGTTTTTTAATTTGGTTCCACTATTAATAGTGTGAAATTGAAGAGAGACCTTGTTACTTTGTGAAAATAGGTTAGAGTGTGAGAATATTTGCGATAATTTTACAAAAGTACTTTACCTTAATGAATTATTTTAAGAATTCAGGGGTATTTAAATATTTACCTAAATCCCCTGCCACGTTGGAGCACCTTTGTAAGAATAAAAAATTAGAACCCATCTGACCATCTCTCATTATAACCATCTTTCTGTACATGAAACTGCCCATTACAATAATTTTGGGCCCCTTTTGGGGGCTTTTTTTGGGGGGCCCTAGGCAGGTGCCTCACCTGCCTATCTCTTGGGCCGGCCCTGCTTTTGATAAATAATCCCCTTTGTCTGGGCTTGATTTAAACAAACAAAAAGTAGCAAGTGCTGATAATAGAAAGCCATCATGCTTTTCTGGGTGATTACCAAATAACACTTTACGGGAAAGTTTGGGAAGGTTACACCTTGCTCACTCTGTTGTTTCATGCTACACGTTATTTTCAATCACTGCTTGACTCATCCACAATGAATCTACCCGCCCATCGGGGACTTTTTGTTTCAATTGAGACCTTTAAACAATTGAAAGGGTAGTTGTCAACAAAAGTTTTGGATCTCAAAGCATAAAATTATAAATCATGGAACAAATATTTGATAAACATTATCATGTTTGTTGATTAAAAAAAAATGAGGCTTTTTTAAGATATGCGTCAAATTGGTTATTATATTGAAAACAAAATCATTCAACTTTATGGTATTGTAAATGGACCAGAACAGAAGAACTTAAATCTTAAACTCGACATAACATTAGACTGTATTTATATTCATGTCGTTTTGTTACAATAATTATGTTCACAAACACAACCAAGTCGTATATTTAATTGTATTGACATAACTTATTTAATATCTCTAATTTTAAACAATAATAATTGAACGAAAAAGTTATTCATCGTTTAAAATATCTTCGAAAAATTATTTTTTGCACACAAAGCAAACCCTCAATCCTCAAAGGAAAAAATAATTATATACACATATCAATACAAATCAATTTAATTTCATAACCTTAGGAGCAAACATCAACAATCTACCCAAAGTATTTGGCATGAACTTCCTTGCAAACAAGAAGCAAATCTTAGTCTTCTTGCCATTATACTCGCATAATTTCCTTGAATCCCTCAGCCTATTCAAAAGCTCAATTGTCACATCTTGTCTTTGAAACTTAGCTGGATGAGGTCCACCCTTCGACCAATCGACCCATGTCACAGTCCTATTGGAGTTCTTCTTCCAAAACTTCATGCTCACAATTGTCGGCAAATAATGTTCATCAACATAGCAAATGGGCTTGCAAAATTTTCTGAAGAGGGGGAAGTATGTTGTATCAGGGACTATCTCAACGGCGAGGGCCCGGTCCATTTCGAACCATTGGGAGCCCTTTCGCCATTGCTTGAGCTTGATTATTGGGCTCATTGGAGTGTGGTAGCGGCCCCGGCCAGGTAAATCATAATATTGAACATAAGTTTTTGTGGAGTTTACGAGATAATTGTAAATTGTGGAGAAAAAAAAAAAACCCATTATTTGTCACAACCTTATTGGCAAACATTAAGATGTGTAAACGTACAAAACTTTACCAAATCTTGGTTGCCAACAGGGTTTCTACACGTATATTTGTGGCCGGCAAGATATTCGGGAAGCGTTGGAGAGATACAAGTTTGGAGACGTGCAAGGTGCAACACATGAAACCAAATACAATCTTTTTGCATATTTTTATTTCAATAATTTTCTGTGGGGTTACGCAAAGTTAAACAAGAATATGGAAGGTAAAATCGTTTTGATAAGTTTTTTTTTTTATTTTAAATGGTTTTAAATATGTCATGTCCCTCTCCTAATCTAGTTGTAATTAAAGATTATATTTAGTTGTAAAAATTAAATTATTAATTTGACTTTTAATATAATAAAATAGATTTTAATTGCATCTTTTATACTAATAACCTTAATAAAATATTTTTGTAAGAAAACATCCTAATTTCATACCTACTTATTTCTAACTAACCCTAAATTTTTCTATCTTTTTAAGCTGTTAACTTTTGATTAATTGAAACTCATCCTAATTAATTAACCCTAATTTTTTTTCCTATCTTTTCAGACTTTAAAATTTAAGTTAAACTCGTCGTAATTAACCCTGATTTTAAGGAGATACAAGCCAAAACTTCTAACTTCTTAAGTCTTCAAAGATTTCACCACTTCAACTAATACCTACTATTAGTCATTTCTTTATGAGTAATGTTATGCTTACTCACCATCTTACTAACCATCTTACTATCCTTTATAAATATAACGCATAGTACAAGTACTATGTGATACCTTCCCTAGCAAAGTCATTGATATCCAAGCCGTTTTCCTCTTATCTTATTCCTGGCGCAGCCAACTCTTTCATTCCTCTGGCATCGTCTTCATCCACCGGACAATGCTATAATCCCTCACTCCCTGGCATTGAGGAAAGGGTGCTCCAACAACGAAACGGAGTACGAGGCCTGATTGCTTTCAATTGTCTTGAATTTTTTTCTCCTAAAAATCTCTACAAGTTTGGATTTCTTTAGGTAAAAAAAAAGGGGTACGTTTCGGATATAGCACATACCCATTTTATTGGGCACTGAAAGCATGGATGGCATTTCGTTCGAATAACGGCTGACGAAGTGGGAATCTCATTTCATCCTTTATCCGATACGGGAGACTACCGTATGACCCAAACAAAAGGGTAAGTATCCGCTTGCATCATGGGAAAACTTAGAATGCTTCAGCCGCTATTTGGAAGAAATTGGCAGTGTCAACTAAAGAATCACAACTGGCAGGCTACTCGTAAACAATAAAACTACGCTTACTCACAATCTTACTAACGATCTTACTATCCTGGTAAATATAACGGTATAGTACGGTTACTATACGTATAGTACCCGTACATTTGCGTTATAATTACACAGGATAGTAAGATGGTGAGTAAGCATGACATTACTCTTTCAAGAATATCAAATCGCCAAGCATCTCATTTTCCAGTAGATTGATAATCCTTATCTTCATCATCTGATTCATCAACTAATTCATAGTCACCTGGTTCTGGGATTTCATGAATATCAAGATGCCCCCGACGAACCGCATCTCTAAGCCATTTTCTGCTGGGTTTCGAATATGCCCCCGCCGAACCAAATCGCAAAGCATCTGTTTTTGGCTCCGGTAAACCCATCGTTCACCATCTGATTGATAATTTGCTTGATAATCTGATTCACCATCTGATTCACCATCTGATTCTCCATCTGATTCACCATCTCTGGCCAACCCATATTTAATAATCGCGTCCTCTAGGATCCACGCTAACTTGTTTCTCAGGTCTGATATGAAACAACAAGCGGTTAAATCACACATAATTTAAATCACAGAAATCCAGTACAACATTTTTTTCAATCTAAGTTTGAATTTTTCCAAAATAAATTTCAGCAATACAAAATAAATCAAACCCACAAACCTTTCATAAATCCTAGCTGAGAATTCTACCAGAATAAATTTCAATTTCAATAAAAAAGAATAAAAAAAAAAAATCAGAAACAGAAAACTTGCTTTCACTTTCCTCCATTTTCCCACCAACCAAACACATTCAAAACACAAATATAAACTTTTTTACCTTTATTACCCACATCCTGAACATCGAGAGACGCGTCCTTCTCCTGGGTGGATTCAGAAGCGGAGGCAGGGAGGTCTTGGTCAATAGAGGAGTCGTTTGAGTCGGACGAGTAGAGTCTTAGCGGAGACCGAGTCGAAGCAGCGAGTAGAATGAGTGATGCATTAGGGTTTGGATTCTGCAGAAGGTTTCGCATAAGGAGAGAAACATTTTTTAGCAGAGTTCGTCTCGTTTTTACTTGTTAGGGTTTCGGATCAGGGGTTTGTGAATTTTATCACAAGCTTAAGGGCCTGTTTGGCTGGTTACTAATAACTGATTCTGAGACTTGCCTCTGTATTAATTATATACTAGTTGAAAGGAAAAAAAAGTAGACATTATTTATTTATTAAAGTTATAAGATATTATTTTTTAAATTACAGTATATTAATTCTTTCATAATTATAAGATATTTTTTGAAATATTCTGTAATTAATTATTTTATTCTTTCCTTGGCAATGTTCTTCCTATATGTTATAGATTAACAATGAATGAAAATCTTCAGAAAATTATTCCTGCATTTATGTTTCAAATATATTCTCAAAATTATTTGATGAGAAAATTCCATTTTTTCCCCTTTTTTTATTTATTAAGCAGAGTTATTGTGATTCTCATTACATGTTACCTTGGTTATGCCTCCAACTCTGAACTCACTAAATTTTTTTATTTTTTATTTTAAATTATTCCAAAGTTCTATAAATTTAATTAATTATGTTAATTGTTCTAAAGTTGTACAAATTTAATTAATGAAATTGGAATTTTATTGTTCTTCACTTTGCTCCCTTCTCAACTTCTCTTATTATATCATAAGGTTGTAAAACTTACATTACTCATATAACGTTGATAATTTATTTTTATTAAATATAAAATCAGTTTTAAAAATTAATCGTCCACATTTGTTGCTTCAGTTTTTCAAACGTTTTTGTTTAACCATTGATTGGGATTTATGACAACCATTAAGCAATGCCATTAAGAGCTTGATGGAAGCTTGGCTGCATATAATGTTTTGGTCTTAAGTACTAAACTAAAAAAATATACCATCAATATTAGAGTGTCTTGAGAGCTTAGAAGAGTCAAAATACAGCTTCGTGAATTTGTTTAAATGGCTGAAGGTAATCCTTGATTCTTGATTTATAGACTAACAACATTGTATTCTTTGTATTTCTGTTTAGATTGTAGATATTATTTCTTTCATAATTATAAAACATTTTCTGAAACATTCTGCAATTAATTTATTTATTCTTTCCTTGTAAATGTTCTTACATATAGTCTATATACTGTATTACAGATGATGAATGAAAATCATCAGAAAATTATTTTACAATTATGTTTATTGATATTTATGTTTCAAATGTATTCTCAAAACTATTTGATGAGAAAAATCCATTTTTTTTCGCTTCCTTTATTTATGATTCCCATTCCATTTTACCTTGGTTATGCCTCCAACTCAGCACTCACTAAATTTTTTTATTTTTTATTTTAAATTATTCCATAAATTTAATTAATCTTGTTAATTGTTCCAGAATTGTGCAAATTTAATTAATGAAATTGCAATTTTATTGTTCTATTTAAAAGTTCACTTTGCCCCCCTTTCAACTTCTCTAATTATATCATAAGGTATCCCAAATCCATAGACAAAAATACCAAAATAATCAATTGCAAGTTTATAAATATGTAAAACTAGTCCTAATGATTTTACATTTATACATCCAAACAAACAAAGGATGAGCGTGAACCAAAATCTAACAAAAATATAAATGACCAAATCATTAAGGTGGTGTTCCAACTACTTATCTTGCTCGGAATCAAACTCTTCTTCTTCTTTGACATGATCTTCCTCTGAATTTTTGCGTCTAATCTCTTCCATCAATTCATCATCACTCTCTTCATGCTTCCCTGCCAACTTCCTACTTAAAATGGCTTCAAATATTGATGGTATGGCCTCTTCGTCGCCCTCAAAGTACCTCTCTATTCTCCTTTTAAGCTCTAGTATTTACAAAACAATTTAACACTAAATCAACATAAATAAAACAGAGCTTGATAAACAAGTAGAATACAGAAGCCAAAAATCGATCTAAGTAACCCAGAATTAAAAAAAAAAAAAAAATTAAATATCTTACAAGTCCAATCAGAGAGTTTTATAATAAAAGAAAAAAGCTTTTCATTTCTTCTGTCTATCAACTTTCTCGGCAACCAAACAGAAGAGAAATACCAGTGTTACCTTCGTTGCTGACATCCTGAACATCTGTGCCGCCATTATTGCTCTGAGTTTGGGCAAAATTGGATGAATCAGACTCGGATGTATAGAACCTGACTGTCGGCCGAGCTGAAAAAGCAAGTTGAATGGGTGAAATTTTATGGCTTGCGTTGAATTTGGGAGGAAAGAAAAGAAAATTGCGAGCGTAGAACAGAGTTCGCTTCATAGCTCCTTAATCCTTGCTAGGGTTTTAGGCTTTACCAACCTTTAATTAATTCCAAATTTTCTCTTATATTTTATATTTGAGATCGACATAAAAGAGAATGCAATAAAGCAACGGCAAATAGGCCGGGCCGGGCCGGCTTTCTAAAAAAATGTCAACACAGATTCCCACTCTGGGCTGAGTTACGGCCCAATGGATACTCCTTCTGAGCTAGATATGTCTTGAAAATAACTTTTGTGGGCCTGGCACTATATGATAGGCCTTAATGCTCCTCTTTTAGCTATCAAATATTTATAATAAATTAGAATCTTTTCTTAATTGAAACCTAGTAAAAAACGTGTATAAACTAATTATATAAACTATTATGTATAAAGTGACGTGGCAATTATACATGTTTGACATATTATTTCTTTTTTTTCTTAATTTATCTTTAAATTAAAGTCATCCAATCATATTATAATACATCAATTTATATAAAAAATTAATATATATAATGTTATTCAATAATTAACAATCGAGGTAAAAAAATTGTCAAGAAACAATCTTAAAACTCAAATGAATATTGTAATATCAAATAGCATATCAATTGAGACGATATTTTTGGGATATTTTTTAAGCCTAAAGTATGACTCATTATTTGATTACATGTTGCATATGGGGATTGAGAAAGCACATATTCATCAAAGTTTAGATGGAATTTTGAAACTTGTAGCAATGGGATGTGGCATGTGCATCTCCTATTTCATGAGGTTAGCTTCAAGAATGGTCATGAAAATGAACATATTAATCAAAGCAAATGATGAATATGGATACTAGACGAACGATCCAGCAAGCTGATATACTGTAAAAAAAAACTGTTTTAATTTAATGTGAATTTGTTAAGATCCCACATCGAGATCTCACACCTACCAACTATGATACTTAAGTTTAAGGATCTTCCCGCCTAACAAGTCAGTCTTTTGGGTTGGATTCTCCCTTGGCTTAAGTTTTAACATTGATGATGCTTTCGTTGAAAGTTGGGTTACGAAAATGGGCACCTATCCAATGCATGGAATGCGGTCTCTTGGGTTGAGTTATCCCTTGGCAGCACATTAATCATTGCACCTTGTTGAATTTGTATTTATCATGCGCTGTAAAATGTATGTAATGGTCTCCACTCTCCAGTAGTCAATTAAGTTTCAAACACCAAATTTCCAGCAATCCTTAGTTGTTATGCAGAGTTTTTATTTAATAATTGAAGTGCAAAATCTCTCACAATAATACCTTATAATGACAATTAGATTTTTTAAATCACTTTAATTATTAGTATTAATCTTGATTTTTAAGCCATTCTCCATTATTAATTTCTGGGTCCATTTGTATTATCACCGCATTTTTAGTGTTTAATGTATTGCATGTTCTTCCCACTTTATAATTCTTATTATTTTCAATGAAATTACAGGCTTGTTTTAATTTCCAACTAATTCTCAACCCCTTAACACGTTTGCCCTATTGTTCTTATATACCAAACATTATTGCATTAACTTCTATAAAGTTACAAATAATCATGCTCTAAGTTTTGATTATGGAGAAATATAGGTGGCTTTCTTTTAGCGTTTTCTGTCTTTTGTTTTTTTTAAATGAATTAAAAATTAAAAAAATAACAAATTTGAACTTTATATTTTTTTTAAATGATGAATTGTTTATTATAATTTTTAAAATTTTGCCCATTAATGCGCACCATCAACTTTTAAATTCCATTCTATGTACTACTAATACCATATTGTAAATTAATAAAAAGATGTTATTCTAGTAATTGAATTTTTTTAAAACTTCAGTCAATTTTTCATGAAAAAAATCTTTAAAAGATAGTCTTTTTAAAGAGTTTTGACTATAAAAAATGTTAATCGAATTCTTAAAGTCAAGACATGAAATGATAGATGATAGTGAAAATAAAATAACTATAAATACAATAGCTTCAATAAATCAATGGCCTTGTGATAAAGAAGATTTACTCAATTAATTGACTTTCTAGGTTTAAATCACTTCGAGACCATCTACTATATTTATGACTTATCTAAAACATTAAATTTATAGGGTGTTCAATAGGTCTCGAGATTAATTAAGTGTGTATAAACTAGTCCGAAAATTCCGTTATTAAAAAAAATATATATATATATATTATATATATATATATATATATATATAAAGATAACCTCTTGAAATAAGATAGTGTGAATTTATGAAAGGGGTATACGAAGTAGTGATATGAATTATGAAATAGAAAAAATTTGGAATTTCCAAAGGAGGTATAGTTATTGGGAGTTCCAAAATTCTTGTTGGCCTTATTGCAAAAGTCTTAAATATCTTTTGTTTTATTAGTGGACAGCTGATTTTTTTTCTGAAAAGACAATTACCTTGTTTAGTGGAATCCAAGCAAATGTTTTTTTTTTTCTTTTCTTTTCTTGGGGCCCAAACAAAACCAACTATTTTGAAATATGGGATTCAAGCTTTCACATTCATTATTTTGCCTTGCATTTTGAGACCAAATTTAAGCTTTTAATTAAGTGTAGATTTTATTGTAGCCAACTAGAAATTTGCAATCCTCTTCTTCTTCTTCTTCTTCTTCTTCTTCTTCTTCTGTCCAAATCCATTCAATTAATCAATGCAATTAATTATGCACCTAAAGTTTCGCAATAAATATGGCTTGTAGGGTCTATAATTTATTTATTCTTAGGATTTTCTCTTCAATTTAATTCATCTTATCATTATTCATTAATAATATGTAATTAAATTCTTTTCCTTTTCCTATTATATTGTATTAGGTAATAATCATCATAACTTGATTTTTGGTAAGAAAGAAAAAAACCCTTGTGAAGAACAACTTCTTTTATCATTTTTCTAAAACAGTATAATCATCTACTATTAAAATATACAGTCAATAAACCATTCTCCTCTTCACTTTGCATAACATGAAACAAATTAATAAATCAAATAGAAATACACAAATGTCAATGAATAAAAAAAAAAAAGGTAATGGGGAATGAGTAGAAGTAAAGAAAAAGTCAAAGAGGAAAGAGAAGAGGAAGAGGAAGAGGTACCGCTTTGTCCAACAAACAAAACTACAAATCATGTTCCCTTCTTTTTTGTTTTCTACACGCATGTCTATAAAATAACTCTCTTCATTTCCACATTTCTCATTTGCTTTTGCTTTCTCAAAGTATTTTTTTAAAGCATTTTCGCTGTCATATTTCTGTAACACTCCACCCCAGCAACCTCCCCTTCTCTGAAATGCCAGTTGAAATCCTCCTTTTAACTCTGTCAAATATTCAATGAAGTTTTTATTTTATTTCATTTTAATTGTAGCATTAATTTATTGAATTTATGTTGTATTTATGACAATATATGATTTATAATAATGAACTACATGGCTATTAATGTTGTTGTAAGAAATGGGATATTAGACGTAAAACTTATGACATGGAATAAAAGTTTGAATTATTCCATGATTGTTAGAGTAATTGCTTCGGCTATTGGTTTCTTTCTCATTTTATATATTAAAATTTAGTCAATAAATTAAAATAGCAGCAAACTTCTTTTGATGGATTATCCAAATTGGGAGGGCTTCCCTCAATGTTGATCATAAATTAATCATTTTTAATCTCACATTTTAAGCAGTTGATTCATATAATATTACTAGTGTGACATTCCATGCTTTTTCATGTTATTATTTATTAATATCACTAGTATGATTTACATGATTATAGTAGTACTTTAAAAATAAATGAAAAAAACTCCTTATGTATATATTTTAGAAATATAAAAAATCTTGGCCAAATAAATCAAACCCCTTTTCTCTATGCTTAACTTTACAATCATTTAATGATAATTAACATTAATTATGTGAATTAAGAAGTCATTAACATGCCTTTTCACTCTTTTTATCTTGTTTCAACTTTTCACTCTTTTTTTTCTTGTAGATTGTAAAAAGATAATTAAATCCCTATAATCCTTTAAAACAAGGAAATATAATTAATAAGTTGGGTCCCCAATAATTTATGTAAAAACAGTTCAATAATAAAGGGGCAGCTAATTAATTGAAATATTAATATAAGATAACCATCACTGGGTGGTTTAATGGTAAAAGAGTAAAATGAAGTTTCATAAACTTTTGAGTTCGAGTCTCCCCAAACACTAGTAGGGGTGACCACTCGGGCTTCTACCTGACCGACTGTTCCAAAGGCTCGAGAGATTAATTGATTGGGACTCTTACCCAACTAGCAGTTTCAAAACCCTGAGGGAGTGGACACCTTCGGTGATTAAAAAAAAAAAAAAATTAATTTAGACAAACCAATTTTTTTTTTTTAATTTCATTTTATTGCTACACTGCCCAATTTCCAATTTGTTAGGGCTTAAATACACTTGAATTTACCACTTTAATAAACAAATTATGATTTATTAAACATAAATAAATCTTAAAATCCTTTTAATTTGATAAATACCAAGGCAAGCCTTGGCACATTAATAGTACTAATCTATAGTTAATTAGGTAATTTTCTTGCTCACCCACCTTCATCATTAATCTTATTATTCTAAAACTTCTTCAAATTCCAAGTCCTTATCCTCTACCTTTTCTCTATATTCTAATTACCAAAGTCAATACACTTAAACAAATATATATAAAAAAGATTATGCTTAACAAATCCTAAGCAACTTGATTATACCAAACTTAATTAGCATTATTTAATTCAAGTTTACCACTCTAATGACATCACAATCTTATCATCCCTATTGAAACAAAAAAAATAAAATCGAATTAATCTTCTACGAAATTGGTTCATATAGATATAGTAATATACAACAATTCAATGTCATGTCTCTTTAACTATCGCTTTGGGTTCCTAAAACAAAATTTAAAATTTAATTAATCTAATGTTAGTCAATTCATGCAAATAATATTTAATCTATAATCATATCATATATTAAAAAAAATAGAGCAAGTGGGGTCTTAATATATGAAGATTAATTTGGTTAATTAAATAAATAACTTACTTTAAAATAGTTTTAGTACAAAATTAATCAAAGCCAGGTGTGGGTTTATAACCCATTAAAGCATTTAATTAATAGATTATTTATCTATAGTTTGCTGACCTTTGACAAAATAAAAATTAGTTGAGTGACACTATTCACATGTGATAAATCTTCTATTCGATGTGTGAGTTTTAATCAAATTAAACATGTTGCATTAGTTTTAATTAATAAAAAAAAAAAAAGATTCTTAAAGAATTAATTTAGAATATAATATAAAATAAAATAAGCTCTCAATTTGTCTTTATTTCTTGTTGTTTATGAAGCTCCATTATTATATATTTTGTAACTTTCCCTTTCTCATTTTTTCTTGTTTTGTTGAACCCTTATGTTATGCATGGTCCCCCTGGAGACTACACAGCTAATAAATTTCATAAGTTTCGACAAATTGAAATAATTCCAATATTTCCTTTTTTGAAAGAGTTATTAATTTTACTGAAAATGATTATCAAAATATTCAACCAACCCTTGGGTGACTGAGTGGTCGAATATAGATTTTTAAGTGTATTACTCAAAGGGTTTTTATCCGATTGTTAATTTCAGGGTCTCGAGTAATTAGTTGAGTCTCGTGCAAGTTGGATCAGACACCCCCGGTTACCAAAGAAAAAAATCTATAACTATTTATAAAATCGTAACTTTATATTTTTGAGATCATACTTTTCTGAAATGAGTTTTGATAGTAATTACTAGTAAGTTTGTCGTACATTTATTATTAGGTTAAAAGCTATAACTATTTATAGAATCGTAACTTTGTAAATTTAAATCATTATTTTTGCATTACAGTTCAATGTGACTATCCTTTTTAGTCTTTGTTGGGCCATCAAGTTAGGGAAATAAATGGATATAATTTTGTAAAAATAGGAAAAATTAATCATGAATCTTAATGGATGAAAGAATTAAGCAAATATTATGAAGAACAAATGATGCTTAATGTGCAAAAAACGAATAAATTGAGAGCCTAAGAGGTATGAATGAGCCCACCATTTGATTTTGATGCTTTTGATTGAAGACTTAAATTTAAAGCTCACTATTTGGGTTGCCTTGCCCCACATGACTGCAACTATTTTTGCCACAAGTTTGGTTACAATTCCAATACAACTTTGATTTTTGACCTTGAAATTTTTTTTGTACGCACCTTTCAATTTCATCCACACTAACTCTTTTACATTCTAACCCACAAATCTAACCCCTTTTTTTTTTACCTTAATTTCTTAAATTAAAAAAAAAAAAAAAAACCCTTCAATCCTCATCTAAACATGACCCATCTCAAGTCCTTTTACTTTTATTATTTGTAATCTGAAAATAATTTTCAAAAACTTAGAATATAAATTATGTTTGATATAATCTAAAAAAAAAATATATATTATACATCTCAAATACTAGATCAAGATTTTCTACATGGAAATGAGAGGTTATATTAAGGATAAAATATTACTACATAGACTTCCACAATACTTTGAATGAAAATTTCAATAAAGAATCTATAATATTAGTTGAGATATGTTGGACGTAAAAAGAATATTTTTATCCATGATTTATCTGGGAGGTCATAAAGATAGATTGCTATGAGATTACTCTCTTTGAATTTTAGTGAGGATATTCGTAAACTGATTCAAATACCTTAGTTGTAAAAAAAAAAAAAAAAAAAATTGTTTAGATATATAACATTACTATAAAACAAGCTAAATGATTTATAAAAAATGTTAAAAAATGAACTTGAAAATATTTCTCTAACAAATTAAATATTATTTAAAGAAAACGGTGACCCCACCAGTACGAAGCAAAAGCCTTATCAAGAAGGTTGTGAATAAGTTAATAATAAATGAAACAGTAAAGACAGAAAAAGAGAAAGATATAAAATGATTTAACCTTTAGCTTTTGTTTGGAATTGGATTGTTAAGCATTAAGCATCAAACTTATCTTACAAAAGCAGTAAAACAAATCAAAAGTAAAAGTCATGTACATATTCCAATGAACCTAAAGTCTCAACTGCTGTTTGATTTAGACCAAATATTCTTTTTCATTTTTCATTAAAATTTTCAAATACCCACCTAACAATTTCTAAGTTTGGAATCATAATAATCAATCAATACAGTAATTACAAATCAATTAATTACAAGTGTTAAAAATTAAAACTTTAAAGTTTAAAGTCAATCACAAGAAATCAAAATCCCTTTCTTTCTTGTTTCTTCCTTCTTCTTCTCTGAAAATTTTGAGATATGGCTGACCACATAAGGTTGAGAAGCAGACCCAGAAACGGTATGAGTCAAAGTATTGTTTTTGAAGCAGATCCACCACAAATCCAAACCCAATCCACTCGTTCTAAATCTACAATCTCTTCTCTTTTTCACTCCGCAAACAATACAAATACCTCCAAGAAGAAGCTGAACAACTTCACTCAGTCTACATTCAGAGGGTTTGGATGCACTGCGGCTGCATCTCAGCAGGTTTCTTTGCCTGCTGTGATTAGAACTTCTGCGGATTGGGACGGGAAGAAAGTGAAGAAAAAGAAACAAAAGAATGTAAACAAAAATTCTACTACTACTAGTAGTAATAATGCTTTCACGATTGGAAGTTACAGCAACAAGGGCTCTTCAAGTGGTGGTGGTGGTGATGGTGATGATGGTGGTGGTGGTGGTGGTGGTGGTGGTGGGAGTAATGTTAATAGTAATATTGTTAATAATAGTAATGGTGGTAATTGTATGGTTATTCAGGATGTGTGGTGTGGGCCTGGAATTGGGTTCTCTGGAGCTGATGCAGTTGTTGGGTCCGTGGATTGTGTGGTGGCCAGAAGAAATGTTTCTTCCGGAAGAGGAAAGATTGATGCTGAGAAGTTTAATCAGAGGGAGAGGGAAAGGGAAAGGGAAAGAGAAAGGGAGGTAAATTTTTAAAATTTTATTCTATAATCTGCAATCTGCTGAGTTTTTGAGTTTGCATGGTGAATTTATGTGATGATATTGGAACTGGGTTTTAGATTTTTTGATGATTCTTATTTTTTCATCTGATGATTTTTCTTTTTGGGATTTCATCAAGAAATTAATTTCTTTTTTTCCTTTGTCGGATTTTCATGTAATCAAGTTCTTTTCTTTTTGATAATTGGTCTGGCAAGTTTGGAGCTTGATCTGATTTTCATCTTTAAAGATGTTCAAACTAGAGTTGTTGTTCATCTTCTAATGAAGCCACTCTCTGAACTTTGACATATTTCTTTAAGGATTTTTTTTTCACCTTTTTTAAATTTCTACTGTTAATTGATTTTCATATGTTTCTTTTGCTAGGGAACAAGAAGCATTATATTAAAACTAGAAGTAGAATTACTTGAATTTCCTTTTCTCTTTAATTATATCTCCTGAAACACACAGTTATGGTATAAGTTTGGGCATTTTCCAAGTCAATCAAACTCTGACTGTTCATATAAGTTGATATTTGCCTGCCTTGTTTATCCTTGAAACAATTCCCATAAGCAAAAGAATATGCAATCAAAAGATGAACTTTATTTCCTTTTCAGTATGGTTGCCATTTAAAAAAAAAAAAAAAAAAAATATTGAATGACTTGTGCCCTATTATGTTTCTTCTCTTCTTTCATTCTTCTCTAGTTTCTCAGTTAGTCCCTGTCATTGAGCCCATACTTGTATTTTTTTCTCTGCAGTTATTGTTATGTTTTTCCTAATTCTTTATTGGTTCTTCATTAATTTTACTTTATTATAAGGTGAAATATTCAGTGTTTTTGTGAAACCAAAGTTAAAATTGATTAATTTATTAATTCCAAAGTGCGTGTACGTATGGTTTTGCTTAGTTACTAACGTAATCTAAAATGCTTGGATGATTGGGTCCAATTGTGGAGCCCCTATAAACTTGGAATTCCATTATGGACCTTTTGATAAGTAATTTAGTATTTGAGTAAGAGTGTGACACTCTCTTCCCCTCTTATCTTTTTTTTTTTTTTAATGTATTTGTTTTCGTCTTCTCTTGAAAACTATTTTGTTTCAGTTTGTTTGATATATTGCTTTATTTCCTCCATAAATCCTGGCAGCGTTCTTCTTGTATACCGAGGCGGACGGTCACTCCTGACAGTTTACCTTTCCCGGATTCTGACCCTGCTTTCGGATTCGGACGCCCGGAACTTGATGTGTTTGGACCCCGGTACTATCGTCATCTTCGACATCCTTCCCCTGATGGCCTTGCTGAGGTGTGTAGTTATGTTGGCGTTACCGGTTTGTATTTATTATTTTCCTTGATGAAGTTTGATATGACATAGCCACTGTTGGGCATTTGATGTCTCTGTCACCCCATATATTGCCTGTTAGTTTATAGTTTTAAGGGGGTTCCAGGGAACTTTGTTGGATTCTGTTGCAGAATATGATGTATTTTGAACTGGAAATAGAAACTGAATGGCTTAGTTTCTTTTGTTAAGCATAGTTTGCTTCTTGTTCTCAATCTAGGTGCTTTTTTTTTTTTCATTTAAATCGTTCGTGTCCTTAGATTGTTGTTGTCTATCGGTGCTAAGATGTTTACCCCAATTATGCGTGAAATTGGTTTGGTGGTGTAAGAGATGGTGCTGAATACTCTTGAAACTTTGTCAATGACAAATTCCTGTTGCTGGGCTCAAAGATACATATTAGAGATGTTGCTCAAAGATATGCTACATGATGTCTTATGGGCAGTGAGTATATTATTTTAATGATCGCCCTCAGAATCCTTAATCAATTTAAGGAATTGCTTTTCATTTTTATACTACAGTTTGCTTTGGAAATTGTAGTTTATGTGATGAAATTGTCTATTCTTGATCCTTTTTGAATTAGGATATTGTAAGCAAAGTGGGAATGGCGAAACCTAACAATTTGATAGCTTCTGCTGTTATCCTGTGAAGTATGTTGTATGTGTTTGGTTCATTGTATTTAAGATTCACTGAAAATAGGTGCTTTCTGGTTGCAGATAATGATGCTTCAAAATAGTTTGCTGATGGGGGGAAGATTAGATTCTCACGACCATTTCAGAGACTGGAGACTTGATGTTGACAACATGTCATATGAGGTATGTCGATTACTCTTTGCTTAGTTTGTTTGATCCATTATCACAATGTGTTTATGTCAAAATGGCAATATTCTTATTATGGTGTTGAAACAGGAATTGCTCGAGCTGGGTGAAAGAATTGGGTATGTGAATACTGGACTGAAAGAAGATGAGATGGGACGATGTCTTCGGAAACTTAAGAACTCTGTTGCAAATGATTTATCATCTTATTTGTCAATCCACGTTGATAAGAAATGCACCATTTGTCAGGTGACTTTTTTTCTTTTAATCTACAACTCATTTTCCTCGTTACTCTCCATTTTGCTGTTCGAATCTCGTTTAAAATGCCTGTACACATCTTGTTACGCAGGAGGAATATGAAGAAGACGACGAGATGGGCAAGCTAGATTGTGGACACAGCTTTCACATCCAATGTATAAAGCAATGGCTTGCACAGAAAAATGCTTGCCCGGTCTGTAAGATCACGGTGGTGTCGAGATGCTAGAACAATTGGATTCTTTGCATCACACATTTGAGTGCAGGTGTTTGTTCTCAAATGACTGGATTTAGTTCACATCTCTCTATTTGGTGTATAGATTTTTATTTCCAATACATAAGCAACAATTCATTCTTTGGTGTGAAGAAGCCTCAATCTCTGGTTGTTTCAAAATGACGGGCAGTTTTGGCAACCTGAAAATATCATCTCCTTGACATTTATGATCATGAAATTCGATGGACATTGTTACCATGCTTGCCCACTTAAATTATATTTCTATATTTGTGTTGCTCTAAACCTTCAATATTGGATCAATGACTGAATTCCCATGTTTCTTTTACCTTTAGGGGATATATCCCTTCATTAAAATTCTAATTGAAAACAAACATACGTTTGATATAGTTTTATATTGCTATGGAAGTTCAATCCTGATCTTGTACAATTGACATTTTTATTTTTTGGGTACGATGACTATTAATTGCTCTTGTATATATACTATATCTTTACATTTCTATGTTATATACAACCAATGTTCATAGCAGGTCATCCATGCAGAAACTGGTTCTTTACCTCTCATTTCATACTGATTCAGATCTTGATCGGAACTCTTCTCCTCTCGGAGATTCTAACTTCGTCGAGTGGAGAATCGTAGGTATTAAGTCATATCATGACAAGAGAGAAATTCAATAATACATGGATAAACTTGTTCAACCGCCTGCATAAAGAAAAACACGAAGAAAAGGGAAATTATTCTGAATCCGATCTGGTGTATTGTGCTACATTACTGCTGTTTTCACGATGTATATATGTTTTCAGTGTGAGAAAATGAGCATATGATTAGTTCATACCAAACGCCCTCCCACCAAATCATAGTGAGCATAATGTGGACCACTGGGTTCTCCAAAAACTTTGTAAGTAGCCAAATGCTTAGGAAAGAGCTTCACAGTTTCTGCTCCATTAATATCAACATAATTGGGAAGAATAAGTAAAATAAAACGCTGTGAGACAGTTGATAATAAAAAAAGCCTTTTAAGGGTATGGAGAGACCATATGATGTTTAAATACCATACCATACACAGCTTCAGATGGACAAATTAGATCTTGGTCTCCGGCAAGTGCCAACACTGGGACATTGCTTTTGCCTAGGTGATCCTTGTAAAAAAAAGTCCCGGTTCTGTCACTTAATCCACCTTCTTGGAAGACGGTTGATAGCTGCAAGAGAAGCTTGGAGGGTATGTTGCCTGCAAATTATATCCTAATATCATCCACATAATTCTTTAAAAATAATAAGCAACTGAAAAATACCAAAAATATTGCTACTGTTTGAGAAGAACCAAAAAAAAAAAAAAAAAGAGAGAGACTTCAAAGGGAAATCTCTTCCTATTTTGTTCTGGGATCTAGCCAGAAGCATTAATGCTCTAAAATCCTTTATGCTGTAATAGTTTGTGGAAATTAAAAATGTTTGCACTTACAGAAGTTGTTGAAAATAAGCTTTTCAAATAAGTCAGGATGCATCATGTCCACTGCAGAAATGTGTGCCTTTACCCAAGACAAGATATAGGGAGGATAGGATGCAAAAGGATGAGCTGCAGCAAGAATCACTCCAAGTGGGACGGCTGGAACATTTAGGGTTTGTAAAGGATCTGCCTGTGCAGCACAATGAAATAACATCAGCTTCTTGTTTTTTATTTGCTGCATGTGAAAGCCATAGTAAAACAAAAAAAGGCTGTTTAAAACAATTAGTTTTCCAGAGCACTTGCCAGAGGTAAGAGCAATCTGAGTGATGATTTTGAAGGCCTGTAGTCGAGTGACGATGCTAAAGTAGTGACTGATGCCAACCCAGAATCCTTTCCTTCAAAACCTTATAAAATAGAAAAGGTTAAGAACACAGAAATAATCATTGTTTACGGACAACTATATCGCCATGAACCACATTATCATGTAGTATTACTAATCTAAATTAAAACCATAAATAAATATTAACAAATTCAATCCCATCTTGAAGTTTATGGATTTAATATTGCCTTAATTATGTCTCAATCAAAATTGAGTTGACTTGCTTAACAAAATAAATACACAGGATAAGGTCAAATTGATTTGCTTCACCGGAATGCATCCAACTAACTACTTGTGTCATGTTCGGCTGTAAAACAACCCTGCCTATATTGAGTTGTTTTAATTGTCATTTTAATAAACTAAAAAAATTAAATAATAATATAGATCAAGATTTCTTAATTGTCACCTAAAAGATAGGCATAAAACACTATTATTGGACAACATCCGATTTTAGAGCATGCAATAAGTGAATATCTTCAACATCACATCACTACAATGGCCAAAAACCAACCCAGATATTTCACTTATTAAGAAATCAAGCTTGAAAATTAAAGTTGTGCCTACTTTGGTGAGCTATTCATAGACTTTCTTAAGAAACCAGCATGGTTCATTTGCAGACCTATTATTAAAGCTTATATTTGAAGACTTAATTCAACTTTGCTTAAGGTTCTAAGAATCTTGCTCCCTCTGTTATAACTATTGTCCATAATTCCATACTTAAACTAAACAAAGGTAAAATATTAAAATCAAAGATAGAAGTTCATTATATAACAATATCACAAAGTAAATGCTATCAGGATATTCAGTTTGGTTTGACATAATGACTTACCATATCGTGATAGCATAGCATATAGCAGGATTCCTCCCATGGAGTGACCAACTGCAAGTAATTTGCCATCCTCTGGCTTGCTTAAGGTTCTTATGTACTCCATCTAAGGTGACATTCAATCAGAGTGTCTTGTAAGTTCATATAACTGCCAGTACTATGATAAATTGAAGACAAAATGTAGAGATAAAATAAGATGATATGATTTCTCATATTCTAAGCTATTTACACAAAAGAAATGTCACCTCACCACAGCAGGAACATCCTCTTCCAGGTAGTGATCGAAGTCCCAATCATTCTTCATGATCAAGTCAAGTTGTCTCCGGAAGCCTCCTATTGACGTTGAAAGCCTCTCGTGCAACTCAAATAACTGAGGTGTAACTGACTGGGGACCTGCTTCAGTAATTTTTACAACTATCGGGTCAAATCATTGATTTGGTTAGTTATGTGGGAGTTTTTCCCTGCTTCTGATAAACCTGAGAATTTCTGTGTATCATCATTTAAGTGTAATATAAATGAAAATTTATAGAATCTGACAAGTTAACAGACTGACCTTCACTCAGAAAGCCTAAAAGTCTTTCAGATAATTGCATAACAATTTCTGATAATTTAGATGCTGATTTCGATTGTTCATTTTCAGAGAACATCTCTGTCGTTTTCACATTAACCGATCTGACATCAGAATCTGCACTGAAACCATGGTCAACGGTTGAAAGAGATCCTGCAAAAAAAGTCCAATTGTTCCTCACTTAACCAGCAAAATAAACTCGCTGGGACGTACCATCAAGAGTCTCTGTAACTTCTCTAAAGTCTTCTCCATGTGTGCTCAGCCCAGCACCTCGAACTTCAAGAATCCATGTATCAAATCCTTGGCCAGACATAAAGCGTGCGAATGACGACTGAAAAACAATTAAATGAATAATCAATTGGCTCATATATGAAATAAGGGATGCTTAAAATTACTTAACACTCCAAATAAGAACACAATCAGAAGACCCACAGAAACAAAATTCACATTGACAATAATTCCAGCAGAAATTTCCATTTTCGGCTGGTCTAACAGCAACAAGTTTTTACCCAAATGAACATTGAAATTATAATATCTAATATTCTAAGCTATCCTTAAAAGTATCCCACAAACTATGTGCAATTAAATTCCCTAAATTTTACTATCTGAAAACATACTTGATTATTCATGCATCATATTTGGAATTGTTTTTAAAAACTCAAAAAACCACGAACAATCATAAACTCTTGTTCGTTTTCAGATATTCGGAATCTAAATAAGAAATGTATTGAATAATAATAATAAAAAAAATACAGATAAAAGTTGAATGAATAAGAAAAAGAAACTGACCTGAGGAGAAAGATCATAGCCAATGGCATTAGTTCCAACTCCTGACAATAGCAACAGCGGGTGATTCCTTCGTAGACTCTGCTCAAATTACAATCACACACACTTAATCAACTATGGAAAATATCATCCACGTCCTCATAACTTTTCAACTTCACACTCATAATTAATACATACCTTGGAAGAAGGCAGGTAGCGCCAGAGAGCGAGACGCCAATCAGAGTTCGAAACGGGAACGTAATGGAGCTCATCGGCCGTACAGATCTTAGGCTTCATCTTTTCCAGCTTCACCGCATTGTCGTTTCTCTTCGCGGCTTGCATGCCACGGCCACCACCGTATGATGCTCTCCACGTACTGAGTCGAACCGATGTCCGAGGCTGATCCGGGTTGGAACGTAACGGAATGAGGCGAAAGATGGTACCCGAACGGAGATCTGATTGAAGAACCACCATTTTAATTGAATTTTATTTTCCGAGTTGGAGTAAAACGGTTGGGTTTATTCTGTTTTATCGTTGAGAAAGGTTAACTACTGAGAATAGGGAGGGGGTCCATCGCTTTTGTATTTATTAATTTTATTTTAGATGTAGGGGCCCAATTGGGTTGAGATATTATTATCCTTTTGAAAAATATCAGACGCAACATTTTTATTCTATATATATATATATATATATACACATTAATATTTAAATTATATTTAATTATTTTTATATTAAATCAATTTTCATACCATTGATATATACGTATTTTTATAAATTTTTGGATGATTTAAAACTCATTCGTGTAATTCAGAAAATAATGAAAAACGTTTATTTTATTTTCCATGGGAGATGATTTAGTATAAAACGATTTATTTATTTTCCCCTATGAAATGACTTAAAATTTATTCTAAGTGTTCTGAAAATCGGATCAGACCGGTTGGACCGGATTTGGAAAGAAAAACGGTTCATAAACTAATAAAAATTGTTCTCAGCGATCAGACCGTTTTAAACCGTAAATGAACCGTTTAAACAGTAGCAGACCGACGGTCCAATCGGGCTGGAAATAAATGATAAAACCGGTCCAACTATATGTTTTTCTTTTTCTTTCGGCTTCAAAGATCCAACTTGATTCATCTTTGGTTCAATTCGAGCTTAGAAGGTGAAAGAAAAAAAAATGAAGGGGAAGATCTGAAGAAGCAAAAGAAGAAAGAGAAAAAGAGGTGAGAATAGAGAAGAGAATATGGAAGAAGTAAAGAAGAAAGAGAAGAGGATGGGGGAGAAAGAGAGAGGAAAAAAAAAAAAGACGAAGGAGAAGATCTGAAGAAGAAAGAGAAGAAGTAAGAAAAGAGGAGAGAATATGGAAGAAGTAAGGAAGAAAGAGAAGAGGCCGGGAGAAAGAGAGAAAAAAAAAAAAGATGAGGTGACAGGTGAGAAGAAAAAAGAGAAAATGAGGGGACAAAGAGATGATAGGTGAAAAGAAGATAGAGAGAATGAGGCGACAAATGATATATATTGCTGACCCGTTGGTCAAGCCGGTTGAACCGTTTAAATCGAAAACCGACCCTTATCCAGTTTAAAATTCAGGCCAGTTTCGGAATATTGATTTATTCGTTTCATTCATAAAATATTAAATATTTTGATAATTTTAGGAGAGCTTTTGATAATTATAAGGTGGGTTTTCAATAAATGGAAATATCTTCATTGCTTTTGCTTCTCAAAATAAATTTTATCCTGATTTCATTGACTTACATTACAAGCAATTATATATATACCACATGTTTTAAAAGACAAGAAAATCAATCTGATTTTAATGGAATGATTGAATCCCACAAATCAATTTGGATAAGTTTCAAAATCTAAATTGAAAATGAAACTAATGTTATGAAGGTGTCTCAATCAGTGTTTGATTTATTTGAAGACTGATCATACAGTTTGCTTCTTACAGACTTTGATGATCTTGCTGAGCACAAGAGTAAGTTTCATATCAACTGCCAAAAATCTAAATGAATTTCACTTAAATGTCTAAAACTAAACAACAAATTTCATGACTTCGGAAGCACTTCTCAGGTATTGCTAGAAGTGCTTGTAAAAAGCATCTACTCTGAAGCTAGAAGAAAAGAGAGAGAACCTGTGATTTCTGGCCTCCTGAACTGGCATTTATACAACAGTATGTGTGGACCCGACTTCTATGGAACATTTGAGCTGTTGTCAAGATAATGGTACAGGCAGGGGAAGAATGAAAATTGTGGCAACGGGAATTTTTGCAGTAAGCGTCGATTGAACTGCTGTTGACCGGAGAAACTTTTATCCGTTGCTTGATTTTTTTGCTGCTACTTTGCAGCTGATGACTCGATCAGAGAAAGAATTTGATGTGCAATCTCAGCAGAGGCACTAGGCTTTGCAGCTTTCCGAGCCCTCTCACTCATATCTGCCATTAGACCTTCATTCCCTGTCACCATAATGATACAACGGATTAGAGACTAAAAATTAATTAATATTCAAGAATTTTAAATAAAATTTTGATAAGCACAGTTTTTATTTGTCAGTTTCATATATAATTCCTTGAATGAGATTCTAGATCTGAAGGAAAAACACAGAGGAACAAACAAACAAATGAAATAAAGCATAGTGTGTATCAGTTATCTAAGTAAAGGGACATCACTACCAGCAGTCAAAAGATAATATCATATAACGAGAGCCCATGCCTTTCACTGAAATCCTAATGCGACTCTATCATCCAATAGTTCTAGGAGCTTATACAATATCAAAATGATTTCACATACTTCTATGGGGGACTGAAGCACAGTACAAAGTCTTAATACACAATAATCACCGTTATAAGCAACATATAAAACATACCTAGTATATCTTCGATAGCGGTTCCTAGGGTGATTGAATCAAGTTCATCTTCAGTAATAACTCTTGAACCAGCTACATCAGCCATTAATGATGCATTTTTCAATTGATGTCCTTCAGCAACGTTTGGTGATGGTATCTACAAAATAGAAAAGAGACAAGCATGACTGTGATCTTAAAAGCAGTAATTTTAATAAACATAGTCTAACCAGACATTGTCACGAACATCAAGTAATATTTTCACAACAGAAAACAATACAAAGTTTCTGAACTAAGGAGAATAAGTAGCAATCTCAGTGCTATTAGAACAAGAAGAGAAAGAATGAAAGAAAAGAGGAAGGATATTTCATAACATTAACGCCTCATCAGAAGGAGCACACTGGCATAAAAAACATAAACTTATTATTACTTCCCACAGATTGAAATTATGGTCCCATAAAGGGAAAAAAGATCGTTACTTGAGTGAATGATAGAATCATACTCAATGAGTGCATAGATTTGACTATTTCTCGTCTTTACCCACTTCACATAGATAGAACTTCATATCAGGTATCCTGCCAGTACCCTTCACAACAAGTTCATTCTACTTTGAATAGTTAAAAAGCATAATTTTTTTTCGTAATTTGGTCTTTCAAGACAAGGTACTGATGTTTTTAGGAAATAATTAAAAAATAAACAAACCTCTAGTTTGAAGTGTTATCAAGCTAGAGTTGCAAAACGTAATTGTAATTTAAATTATTACATCAAGACCAACAACTTCTCCTTCATGTGTACATTACTAGAAAGAGAACAAAGGTTTGTTGCTCAATACCAGAATAGCAGGTTTCCCTGTAGCCAAGATCTCAGAACATGTCATCGCACCAGCTCTTGAAACAACAAGGTCTGCAGCTGCATATGCCAAATCCATAGATTCCAAGAACCTATAATCATTTCGTAGTCATGAAAATTATGAGAGAATATAAATGAAGAATACTGTGCCACCACTATGTGTTCTATATGGCTATATGACTTTCATTCATCAACTACGAAACACAAAGAAATTAGGCAACAATAGTTTCAAATTTTAAAGTCAAACTTCAAAATGATGACCAAGAATTAACAGTAATTTGGAACATGAGGTGAAATTTTACATAATGCAAAATATGCCTAGGCGTAATCAATATTAAAGGAAATTAGCCAAAACTCCCAGATGTTAATTTAAGGTGTTTTTAGTACTTCTGAAATTCTTGAGGGACCTTAACTGATTACTCTACCAGACTGAAAAGTTTTATCATATTTATTATGTCCATTGCAACTCCATTAAGATCCAACACCTTTTGAATCCAAGTCATAGAAAGGAGACCCTGTGCAGGTGGCCAATAGCATATGGGAACTCATGCAGAGAAACTGGCTACCTAAAGAAACTTACAGGTCACAAACAGGCGAAACAAGGGTATGGGATTGGTCAAAGAGTACATCATTAAAATGTTCCTCCCCTCCTTTTACCCCCAACTTTGGCTGCCAAGCATCTTGATATTTTAAACTCTAATGCCTAAGAAGACCGACTTTGAGCTTCCATGTGTCAACATGAACAATTATGTCTACACATGATTAATGAGCAGGCCATGCGACCAATGGCTCAGGTTAAAGTATTGATACTTCTAGTTGGAAGTGATGTTTTTCAGTCCAGTTAACTAATTACAAGAACAATAACGCTTGCAGAGTTCCAAACCTGTAATCTATTTGAAGTTTAACCCTTTAGCAAACTCATCACCTAGAATGACTAAAATCTCATTCACTTCTCTTCTTGTACTCTCCACATAGGCCTACACCACTTCTTTCTACTGTCGAATTTCCTCAGGTTAAGTATTATTATCCTTTTCTTCCTAAAATATAACTCTCATCAGCATAATACTTAGGAAGATTTCAGTTAACTGTGCGCCGATGTCAAGAAATTATACTTTCCACCCAACCACTAGTTTCTATTAAAAGTCTTTATTTTTCTAGCCAAATTATACTTAGCATTGTTCTGTTCCCAAATAAAAGCAAACCAAGTAATGCATCTTTCCCAATGAACCTCTTGACTTCATCATTGCAGCCATCTCCACAAAGTAATAACCTTAATCGGAAGACAACACACATTGTCATCATAAGGAAAACAACTTCATGATTTAGGTCTCCGACTAGAACTAATGTACAAATCAATCACACAAATATTATGAACTAGCACCATATAACATAATAAGGGTTAAAAGAGAGAATAGAATCTGTCAAATAAAAAACTAATAATGATAACAATAACAACTTACGGTGTCAAAAGCAAATGAGGATGATTCTTAACCAGGCTTTCCATCTCATTGAAGGACTCAACCCCAGTCTGCCAAATGATGAACAACTTGTCCTCCACCAACATTTTATAGTAAAAATTCAACATTGCAATGTTTATCGCATTGGCCCCCAAAGACCCACCCAAAATCAACAAAACTTTCCCCTCCCCCTTCCCCGACTTCGGAAAAAACTTCAATTTTGCCACCTCCTTTGAAACAAAAGCCCTCACAGACAACCTCACAGGGTTTCCACACACAACACAGTTACTCTTTCTTGGAAAACACTCAACCGTAGAATTAAATGCCACAAACACTTTATCAGCTAAAAAAGAAAGAACCCAGTTGGCAATACCAGGCACTGAGTTTTGTTCTTGAATTACAACTTTAATCCCTTTAAAAACCGCAGCTAAACAAATAGGAAACGACACGTAACCGCCAGTGCCAACTACAATATGAGGATCAAAATCTTCAAGTATGGAATTACATAGAAGTATAGACTTGATTATATAGTAAGGAAGAAAGAGGTTTCTAAGAGAAACTAAGGGACGAAACAAGCAAACCAAAGTGGGAACCGAGACGAAATCGAAGCCAAATGAAGGAATCGCAGTTGCTTCCATGCTGTTGGGCGATCCAACGAAGAGGAATTGAGAGGCGGGGTTGATGATTTTGAGCTCATCAGCTATGGCAACAGCAGGGGATATGTGGCCACCGGTACCACCTGCAGCAAAAGCGACACGAAAAGCGTCATGTTGGGACAAATGGGTGTCGGTTTCTGGGGTGTTGGATTGTTTGAGGGAGAGACAGTAGGTGGGTTTTAAGAGCCTTAAATGGAGAAAAGAGAGGTTAGAAGTGGAGGAAGAGGTGGAGAGGGAGGGGTAAAATGGGAAAGTTGAGAGAAGAGAGATGGAAGCCATGTGGATTAAAAGAAGAAGAAGAAGAAGAAGAAGTTAAGAGAAATGCATTTGAGTTGAGAGTTGAAATGGGGAGAGAGTGAGAGTTGAGAAGAGACAAAGAGGGTGGGCGACCATTACAGTACTTAGGATTTTGGAAAGCTGCGTTTTTGGAGCATCACTTTGAAATTTCATTTTCTTGTTTTGACAATTTTATGAACTGATGGGAGATATTTTGATAGTGTGAGTTTCACTTGAATTATGGGTTGGATAAACGACCCAAGGTTTGGCTTAATGACATTTCCCACCTAAAAAGTTTTAAAAGACCACTTTTTCACCCAAAGTTAATATTCCGTTACTATCCAAAACCGATTTTGGTCAACTTTGACATAAAAAATTATCTCAGTCACCACTATTTGAATCTCTGGTCTTCTCTCTACAAAACCCCCTCACTTTGGCATCTGATTTCTCACTGATTGTTAGTTACCGTAAAACTAGGGTTTTCTATTAACTATTCTTAGTTGATTTCGGCGATGAATATTCAATCGGTCAAAACCATTTGATCCACCGGCCTCCTCTCTACAAAATCTCTTTTACCTTGACTTCTGGTAACTCGCCGAGCGCCGGTTGAGAAAGTGAAATATATTTTAAGTATTGACGGAATTTGGGTGGAAAAGTGTCATTAAGGCAAACCTTGGGTGAGTAAAAGCGTTTACTCTGAAATTAAAGAATCAAACTAATGATAAATATAATTTTATGGCTACAAAGTAAAATGCATAATTTAATATGATGTATGAATCTCGAGATGTCAACAAAAGTAAACTGGCCTTAACCCAAGATCATGTGCAAAATTATTAACATTTTATTTGAAATATAGATCTATCTATAAAGTCTATGACATTTTAATATCGTATTAAATGACCACGTTAGGCTTTTCTATGTGATTTTAAATTTAATTTTTTAGTTTTCTATAATCAAAGTTTAATATGCATAATAAGATAATCAATTTGAGGAAAGGTAATTGTCTTCCTACTCTCCACTGTTTGGGCCTAAAGTTATCTGGTTTCTTGTTTCACTCAGCCCAGCCTTCGAACTCTTTTTGAATGAGTTGACAGCCGAGTCAAAATGTGGATGCGAAACGAATTCCAATTTCCAATTTCCAAGTCAAGTCAACAACTTCTTCTTAAGAAACGTTTCGGGTGATAGAAGAACTGTTCATTATATTCGTACGTTTCAGAAAGTAACTTTCAAATGCTTTGAGTTTAATAAAACTGGGACGTTTGGTTCTTGGTTTATTGATAAATAAATAATTTATCAAAATAAGAAATATTTAAGGACAACTCATCTTTATTGTTTTTATTTTTCCTGCCTTGAATTTAGTGGAAGGTAGCGATAAAATGGTGGGGAGGAAAGAAATTATGGTCCGCTGTTAATTACATATACAAAATAATATTATTGAAGATGATTGCATCTGGGCTATCAAGGACTGTCTAAGTTTTCCTCTTTTTATTCCTACTCAATGCCCCAGTCTACAGGGTGAGACCTCAAATTACATGGAGTCCCGTGAAGCGCCCGACAAAAAAACAATCCTCTTTTCATATTATTACGACCCAATGCCCCGGTCTACAGGGTGAGACCTCCAATTAAAAATTTAAATGTGGTCCAGGGAAGCTCCCGGCAGGAAACGTCAGAAATGAGTATATATAACAAGAGCATGAGAGGTTCAGTTCACCAGTTCTATCTCTTTTAAGTTCTTGTGCATCTACATTTAATTAACAATGGAGAATAAGTGCTTTAGTTTCCTTTCATTATTGTTTGTTTAGTGTTTCATGGCTACTTTTGCCATGACTGCGAAAAACTTAATAACGGATCAATCTGCTCTTCTCCAATTCAAATCCCATATCACTTCCGATCCTCGCCCTCTCTTAGCTTTTAGCTGGTCCATTTCTAATCCAGTCTGCCACTAGGTTGGGATTTCCTGTGTTGCTCGCCATGGAAGAGTCAGAGCCTTGAATCTTTCATCTATGGATCTTGGAGGCACTATTCCTCCACATCTTGGCAATGTCTCCTCCCTGGGCTATCTTGATCTTAGTCACAACAATTTCCATGGCCTTCTGCCAAATGAATTGAGGCAATTACACCGACTGAGAGTCTTTAATTTCGGAAAAAATAACTTGAGTGGGGACTTTCCATCCTGGATAGGTATCTTATCCCAATTCCACTTCTTGGGTCTTTACATTTTACAATAACAGTTTCACTGGCGCCATCCCCCCGTCTCTCTTCAACTTATCAAAGCTGGAGATTTTGAGGTCAAGCTACAAGAACATTGAAAAGAGTATTCCTTCTGAGATTGGGAATCTTTCCTCAATACAAACTATTTCTTCATCATTCAATAGCCTCTCTGATATTCTTCCATTTGAGATTGAAAACTGTTGATGTTTGATTTTGACATCAACTACTCGCACGTGTAAAGTGCTAAGCAGACTTAGAAAATCATACGTGATATGGGAATATGAAATAAAATAATACATGAAAAGTGATATTTAAAGTGGTTTGGATGCTCAAAAGCGAATCATACGTCCATTGTTATTGTATTAATAAAAGGGTAAAATCATGTTGCGAGTAGCGAGCTGAGTTATAATTTAGAGAGAATACAAAGAGAGAGAGAGAGAATGAGTGTAAGCTATTTTAGAGTAAGATTAGTCAATCCTGCAAATGAGAGGGAAGACCTCTATTTATAGTGTGAGAGTTCAAGGTAATGATTGCAAATCTGCAACTGGGTAGGTGTCGTGCAAATCCTTCTTTGCTTCCCATTGGTTACTTGCCCGAGAGATATCCTCAACCTGGTTAGGGTTTGGACACGTGGGCGATCTCTAACCACTTGCAAGCCTGACACTCACCTACTGCGCTGACATGAACCATACCCCATGCGTCAGGCACGACGTGGCCGCGTCTGGACGACACAAAACTTTCCTGAGCCCTGATTGGCCCTTAAGCTGACGAGATTCCATGTCAGCTCTAACTTTTCAAGCATAACAAAAACCTTCCGAATATGAAAATAATCAATATTCAGCACAATTGGCTCTCGGGTTCAATACCTTCAAACACCTTTAACATTTCTTCTCTACAAATTATTGATTTAAGATTCAATAACCTATTCGGCAGTTTGCGTAATGATATGTGTAATGGAGGTGTTTCAAAACTTGGGTCCCTTTATTTATCCTCAAATGATTTAGTTTGCCAGATCCCCGAATGTTTAATTAGGAGACTGCAAAGAGCTTCAAACCGTGACATTGGCATGGAATAAATTCACAGGAAGCATACCGGAAAGCGTTGGAAATTTGAGCAAGCTCATGAATGTGGCTATTGAGAAGAACAACCTAACAGGTGTATTATTTTCATCTTTGACCATGCATAGATCTCTAGAAACTAGCTTATTAAATTATGTGCTGTTGGGAGGATTGTATTTTTTTTAGTCTAACAAACAATGTCACTGCAATCTAGTTAAAAATTAAATATAGAAACTGGGATTTAAATGGTCACATATCTGATAATTAGTTACTGAGTTAGAGATTTAGTTTATAAATAAGACTTGAATCCTAGTAACTAGACCCCTTTTGGGTGACATTTACTAAACAAAGTGCTATGTCCTTAATGTGTGTGTATTTGGAAACATAAATTTTGTTCGTACTCTAGGGTTTACTGACTAACTCTAATTAAACAATTTAACTATCAATTTAGGAATCAATTAATAGAACTATGAGCAAATAAAGGAAATCAGCAAAGAACACAAGACACAACAATTATAGTGGTTCGACTTTGCAACCTACATCTACTCGCCAAGGCTCACAGTAAGGTATTCTCATTGAAAGCCAAAAAGTACAGAATAATGAATAAAGCAGAGAAGAAAACTTTACAGAAGGGAAAGAACACACCCAATCTGAAAACCCTAGGTTTTCTCTAATATGAGATCTGCATTTCTCCTCCATCAATCAATGTTAAATACACATGCACCCTTCCTTGATCAGCCTCCACTTATCTTTGATTTGTCCATAGCCGTAAGATGAATAACAATCTGGAAGATTCTTTGGAGTCATGAATTTGTTGAGGTAAAGAAAGAGAAGAGAAGTTGAGCATGTGAAGTGTGATAGCCAAATCATGATATGCATAAGAGTTTGCCCAAAACGCTGTCGCACCATTTGTTTTGACTCTTAAAACCAAAGTTGACTTCCACCGTGGTACATAAGAAGCCACATCATCACAATTCTCCACCTTGGCTTCTTGATTTGACACCTTATATGGCCTTGGAATGTATATGTTCACTCTTGAACTTGAAGAAGGCTCATACAGAGCCTATGTTTTTCAACTGGAACTAGTTTAGTGAACATATCAGCAGGGTTATGCGAACCATTAACTTTTTCAATCTTGATTTCCCTTTTTTCGATCATTGCCCTAATGAAATGAAGGCGAACATTTATGTGTTTGGTTCTTTCGTGGAACACTTGGATTTTGCAGAGATCGATTGCACTTTGACTATCACTAGTGATCATCACTATTTGTTGTTCAATTCCCAGCTCATTTGCAAGACCTTTCAACCAAGTAGCTTTCTTTGCTGTCTCTGTCAGTGTCACATACTCTGATTCTGTTGAAGATAGAGTAACCATATGTTATAGCTTGGATTTCCAACTAACAACATTTCCCTACAGAGTGAATACAAAACCTGAGGTTGACTTCCTCAAATCCATATCTCCTACATAGTCTGCATTTGCAAAACCTTCAACACAACTGTTATAACTTTGGTTTTTCTTAAATACGATGCCTATTGATCTGGTTCCCTTCAAATATCTCATAATCCACTTTAGAGCCATCCAGTGAGACCTTCCTGGATTGCTCATAAACCTGCTTACAAGACTTACCGAAAAAGCCAAGTTTGGTCTTGAACTCACCATCAAGTACATTAGACTCCCCAGTGCACTTGCATAAGGAACATCTGCCATCTTAAACTTTTTTCTTCATTTGTGGGCTTTGCTCATGTGAAAGCTTTAGGTGAGCTCCAGAGGAGTTGGGACAGTCGTTGCATCTTGCATGTTGAACTTATGCAAGATTTTGTCAGCATAGTCTTGTTGAACTACTTCAGGCTTCCAGATCTCTATTTCTGATAATTGATATACCAGGAATTTTCTAAGCT